GTACTCCGAGCATGTGCTGACCAACTGGCAAGTGTCTTCACTGACATTTTCAACATGTCCCTGACTGAGTCTGTAATACCAACATGTTTCAAGCAGACCACCATAGTCCCCGTGCCCAAGAACTCTAAGATAACCTGCCTAAATGACTACCGACCCGTGGCACTGACGTCTGTAGCCATGAAGTGCTTTGAAAGACTGGTCATGGCTCACATCAACAGCATAATCCCAGAAACCCTAGACCCACTCCAATTTGCATACCGCCCCAACAGATCCACAGATGATGCAATCTCTATCGCACTCCACACTGCCCTTTCCCACCTGGACAAGAGGAACACCTACGTGAGAATGCTATTCATTGACTACAGCTCAGCATTCAACACCATAGTGCCCTCAAAGCTCATCACTAAGCTAAGGATCCTGGGACTAAACACCTCCCTCTGCAACTGGATCCTGGACTTCCTGACGGGCCGCCCCCAGGTGGTAAGGGTAGGTAACAACACATCTGCCACACTGATCCTCAACACGGGGGCCCCTCAGGGGTGCGTGCTCAGTCCCCTCCTGTACTCTCTGTTCACCCATGACTGCATGGCCAGGCACGACTCCAACACCATCATTAAGTTTGCCGACGACACAACAGTGGTAGGCCTGATCACCGACAACGATGAGACAGCCTATAGGGAGGAGGTCAGAGATCTGGCCGTGTGGTGCCAGGACAACAACCTCTCCCTCAACGTGACCAAGACAAAGGAGATGATTGTGGACTACAGGAAAAAAAAGAGGACTGAGCACGCCCCCATTCTCATCGACGGGGCTGTAGTGGAACAGGTTGAGAGCTTCAAGTTCCTTGGTGTCCACATCACCAACAAACTATCATGGTCCAAACACACCAAGACAGTCGTGAAGAGGGCACGACAAAGCCTATTCCCCCTCAGGAGACTAAAAAGATTTGGCATGGGTCCTCAGATCCTCAAAAAATTCTACAGCTGCACCATCGAGAGCATCCTGACTGGTTGCATCACCGCCTGGTATGGCAACTGCTTGGCCTCTGACCGCAAGGCACTACAGAGGGTAGTGCGTACGGCCCAGTACATCACTGGGGCAAAGCTCCCTGCCATCCAGGACCTCTATACCAGGCGGTGTCAGAGGAAGGCCCTCAAAATTGTCAAAGACTCCAGTCACCCTAGTCATAGACTGTTCTCTCTGCTACCGCACGGCAAGCGGTACCGGAGTGCCAAGTCTAGGTCCAAAAGACTTCTCAACAGCTTCTACCCCCAAGCCATAAGACTCCTGAACAGCTAATCATGGCTACCCGGACTATTTGCACTGCCCCCCCACCCCATCCTTTTTACGCTGCTGCTACTCTGTTAAGTATTTATGCATAGTCACTTTAACTCTACCCACATGTACATATTACCTCAACTAGCCGGTGCCCCCGCACATTGACTATGCAACGGTACCCCCCTGTATATATAGCCTCCCTACTGTCACTTTATTCTATTGTATATATAGCCTCCCTACTGTCACTTTATTTTTTACTTCTGCTCTTTTTTTCTCAACACTTTTTTGTTGTTTTATTCTTACTTTTTTGTTTAAAATAAATGCACTGTTGGTTAAGGGCTGTAAGTAAGCATTTCACTGTAATGTCTGCACCTGTTGTATTCGGCGCATGTGACCAATAAAATTTGATTTGATTTGATTTGACATGTCCAGGCCCGTCTGAAGTTTGCTAGAGTGCATTTGGATGATCCAGAAGAGGATTGGGAGAATGTCATATGGTCAGATGAAACCAAAATATAACTTTTTGGTAAAAACTCAACTCGTCGTGTTTGGAGGACAAAGAATGCTGAGTTGCATCCAAAGAACACCATACCTACTGTGAAGCATGGGAGTGGAAACATCATGCTTTGGGGCTGTTTTTCTGCAAAGGGACCAGGACGACTGATCCGTGTAAAGGAAAGAATGAATGGGGCCATGTATCGTGAGATTTTGAGTGAAAACCTCCTTCCATCAGCAAGGGCATTGAAGATGAAACGTGGCTGGGTCTTTCAGCATGACAATGATCCCAAACACACCGCCCGGGCAACGAAGGAGTGGCTTCGTAAGAAGCATTTCAAGGTCCTGGAGTGGCCTAGCCAGTCTCCAGATCTCAACCCCATAGAAAATCTTTGGAGGGAGTTGAAAGTCCATGTTGCCCAGCGACAGACCCAAAACATCACTGCTCTAGAGGAGATCTGCATGGAGGAATGGGCCAAAATACCAGCAACAGTGTGTGAAACCCTTGTGAAGACTTACAGAAAACGTTTGACCTGTGTCATTGCCAACAAAGGGTATATAACAAAGTATTGAGAAACTTATGTTATTGACCAAATACTTATTTTCCACCATAATTTGCAAATAAATTCATAAAAAATCCTACAATGTGATTTTCTGGATTTTTTTTCTTCAATTTGTCTGTCATAGTTGACGTGTACCTATGATGAAAATTACAGGCCTCTCTCATCTTTTTAAGTGGGAGAACTTGCACAATTGGTGGCTGACTAAATACTTTTTTTCCCCACTGTATGCACACAAAAAAATTAAAACATATATTTTATACTATTACAAATGTTCAGAGAAAGCGATTCTGTTTAACACATAATAAAATAAAATCTAAAAAAGATAGTGGTCAAAATGATTGGATCTCCTGTTTTCAATACCTTTGCGAGGATAACTCTGTAGCTGATTTGCTGCTATTCAGACAATTGAGAAATAGACTTCCTCAACCAATAAAGAGAAATCTAGCTACTTTCTTAGTTCTATCTCAGACTCTGCTGGTGACATAATATCAAAGACCCACCACCATAATTTACAGTAGGGATGACAAGGTATTTTCCGGTGGTTTGAATTGAAGAGGGCAGTCCATAAGTGCAGACAAAGGATATCAAGGATCTGGAAAGATTCTGTATTAGTGATCCAATTGACATTTTATTCATTTAGCAGATGCTCTTATCCAGAGCAACTTACAATTAGTGAGTGCATACATTTTTCATTCTGACTCCTTGTGGGAATTGAACCCACAACCCTTGCGTTAAAAGCACCATGCTCTACCAACCGAGCTACAGGAGGGCCTGTATGGAGAAATGGTCTAAGATCCCTCTCCATGTATTCTCCAATCTCATAAAACAGTGTTGTTATCCTCGCAAGGGAGGGTGCTGGAGTATTTAAAATAGGGGAGCCAATAACTTTGACCCCTATCTTTTTTAGAATTTATTTTGTATTACTTGTTAAACAAAATCAATTTATCTGCGCAATTGTATTAGTATAAAATATTCTAATATAAACATTTTTTTTGCATACAATATAGCTCAGTATTAGTATTTATTTTATAGTCTTTTTTGCTCATCTTTATCAAGGGATCCAATAATTTTGCACCCCACTGTATAACTGACCTGTTTATGTTGTGCATCCATGTAAAATGACCACTAGGTGGCAGAATGGAGCTACAAGTATCTGTAATGCATTGGCACAATGACAGATAACCTGTTTTATCTGTTGAGAACAGCATGCCCTCTTCATTTTATGATATGGTGTCAATCTAATCTCTCTTTTTTTACTCAAGTCTGAGAAGTAATACTGTCCATAAATTTACATTAAAACACGAATGTAGGGTTGCAAAATTCAGGTAACTTTCCCGGTAGGATGATTCCCAGATTTTCTATTTATTCCGTCCTGATTCCAGGAATCTTCCAACTGGGATTTCGGGAAAATGTTGGTAAAGTTACCCACATTTTTCAGCCCTCCACTAATATGTTGTATTTTGATCCCTGCTTGCTTCTATCTCCCTGTGCAGACTCACGCTCTGATTGTGTTTGGAGCACTGGACACCAACCTAGGGACCCAGTCCCACAAGAACCTCATGCAGCTCCCACACCACTCAGTCCTGAAGATGGATGGGGCGCGCCATGCCTGCTACATGGATAAACCTCGGGAGTTCCACCAAGCACTGTTGGACTTTCTCAGCAAACTGGAGTGAGAGGAGAAGGGAGATAGAGGGAAGGAAGGAAGGAAGGAAGGAAGGAAGGCAGGAAGGAAGGAAGGAAGGAAGGAAGGAAGGAAGGAAGGAAGGAAGGAAGGAAGGAAGGAAGGAAGGAAGGAAGGAAGGAAGGAAGGAAAGGAAAGGAGCGATACAGGGTTGTGTACAGTATATGAACATTAAAAGACTAGAAGCAAAGGACTGTTTCAAGTATTTATTGTTCTACCGGCACCATTATTGGTTCCATGATAAAATTCTACATCAGTCAGTTGACATGACAATGAAGAGGTTAAAAGAGAGCTAGGGAGATAGTACCAGGGTTGTATTCATAAGTGCACACCGTGCAAAATGTTTTGCAACAGAAAACAAAAACAAGCATTTCTGTTAAGAGAAATTAACTGTGAAAAGTGTGAGATCTATTGGAAATAAGTTGTCATTAAAGTGTTTTTTAAGAGGAAAAATAATCAATGGTTGACCAAATGACCTCTGGATCTCATGTACAGAAACTTGGAGAAAGACTAATGATAACATTCAGAAATGTATTTATAGACGGTAGCTCCCTGTTGCAGCATGTTTACTCTGAATTGTGTGTGTGTGTGGGGGGTGATGTTCCAAGATGAAGGTGCTGTATCTACTAAATCTGTGGAAAGGTGTTACAACTAGAAAAGTACACTCCGTTCCATTTTTTTGTTATGACAATGACCACTATTTATTTTATATGATAATGAACTTGTACATAATAGGTGATTTTTTCCATTGGACATCAAATGAAAGCCTCAAAAGTTCATTGGCTTAAACAATAATGTCCTCTATTTGAATTGTGCTGTTATTGCGCTCAATTTCCTTTAATAAGACTTCAGAAAACATTTTTGTATTTAGTAATTGTCAATTTACAACAAATACACATTGGAGCAAATTTACAATTAGACTATTTTGGTACTGATGATGCCGACGATGAGAACAATCGATGATTTGGAGATTGATTGCACATCCCTTGTGCAGAATATTACAAGTCAGCAGCCAAGTAAAGATTGACCTTTCATTCCGTTAGGCAGTCAGTCGTGAGGGATCTATCAAGGTAAGTGTCTCATGAAATCGTCTGCTACTCTGTGTGATGTTTACAAATGCTGGCGTTTTTACTTAATACAGTAGCTAGTTAATAAATTCAGGAACGTATTAATTTAGCTAGCTAACGTTAGCTAGCTAATCCTTGGTTTTCACTGCTAGTCATGGGGATGTGGCTAGTCACTGTTGTGCATGCTATGCGAAACAATGTCCCCATGCTAAAGTTCACTCAAATATATTGGTTGATTTGCAAAATGGCTAGTTGAAAAAGTCATCGCTACCTATGGGCTGCTCTCTCTCTCTCGCGCTGACTGTCACTGTCACACACACGGTTGTCGACCTGTAGCCTACATCACTCAGGGCCTGCGTCCTCTCTCCCTGCTGAAGACAGTGATACTATGCTGCCTGATAAGGATGGACTATGTGGTGGTGGTGGAGGCCAGGCCACATCGGGAGAAGACCCCTCAGTGAGCCTGTTTAGAGAGTACCTCCGCCTCAGGACTGTCCACCCAGAGCCTGACTATGGTAAGTTATGGATCTGTGTTCAATGTCTCTATACGGTGGATGTACATCTTCTATGATAATGTCTGCATCCAAAATGTGACACTTCTCTATATAGTGCACTACTTCTCACCATATAGTAGGAAATAGGGTGCTATTTGGGACATAGACAATGTCACACTTTGTGTGGACAAGGTTTTGTGTACACCACCACACAGTATCATACATCTAACCAATATACAGTGCATTCGGAAAGTATTCAGACCCCTTCACTTTTTCAACATTTTGTTATTCTAAAATTGATCAAATAGATTTTTTCCCTCATCAATCTAAACACAATAGGGAAAGGGGGATACCTGGTCAATTGTACAACTGAATGCATTCAACTGAAATGTGTCTGTCGCATTTAACCCAACCCCTCTGAATCAGAGAGGTGCGGGGTGCTGCCTTAATCAACATCCACATCATAGGTTAACTGCCTTGCTCAGGGGCAGAACAACAGATTTTTACATTGTCAGCTCGGGGATTCGATCCAGCAACCTTTCAGTTACTGGCCCAACGCTCCTACCCGCCAGGCTACCTCATAATGACAAAGCAAAAATAGGTTTTTACATTTACGTAAGTATTCAGACCCTTTACTCAGTACTTTGTTGAAGAACCTTTGGCAGCGATTATAGCCTTGAGTCTTCTTGGGTATGACGCTACAAGCTTGGCACACCTGTATTTGGGGAGTTTCTCCCATTATTCTCTGCAGATCCTCTCAAGCTCTGTCAGGTTGGATGGGGAGCGTCGCTGCACAGCTATTTTCAGGTCTCTCCAGAGATGTTCGATCGCATTCAAGTCTGGGCTCTGGCTGTGCCACTCAAGCACATTCAGAGACTTGTCCTGAAGCCACACCTGGGGTGTCCTGGCTGTGTGCTTAGGGTCGTTGTCCCGTTGGAAGGTGAACCTTCACCCCAGTCTGAGGTCCTGAGCGCTCTGGAGCAGGTTTTCATCAAGGATCTCTTTTCTTTTGCCATGTTCATCTTTCCCTCGATCCTGACTAGTCTCCCAGTCCCTGCTGCTGAAATACATCACCACAGCATGATGCTGCCACCACCATGCTCCACCATAGGGATGGTGCCAGGTTTCCTCTAGACGTGACGCTTGGCATTCAGGCCAAAGAGTTCAATCTTGGTTTCATCAGACCAGAGAATCTTGGCAAACTCCAAGCGGGCTGTCATGTGCCTTTTGCTGAGGAGTGGCTGCCGTCTGGCCACTCTACCATAAAGGCCTGATTGTGGAGTGCTGCAGGGATGGTTGTCCTTCTGGAAGGTTCTCCCATCTCCACAGAGGAACTGTGGAGCTCTGTCAGAGTGACCATTGGGTTCTTGGTCACCTCCCTGACCAAGGCCCTTCTCCCCCGATTGCTCAGTTTGGCTGGGCAGCCAGCTCTAGGAAGAGTCTTGGTGGTTCCAAACTTCTTCCATAAAAGAATGATGAAGGCCACTGTTTTCTTGGGGACCTTCAATGTTGCAGACATTTTTTGCTACCCTTCCCCAGATCTGTGCCTCGACACAATCCTGTCTTGGAAATCTACGGACAATTCCTTCGACCTCATGGCTTGGTTTTTGCTCTGACATACACTGTCAACTGTGGGACCTTATATAGACAGGTGTGCACCTTTCCAAATCATGTCCAATCAATTGAATTTACCACAGGTGGACTTCAATGAAGTTGTAGAATCATCTAAATTATGATCAATGGAAACAGGATGCACCTGAGCTCAATTTCGAGTCTCATAGAAAAGGGTCTGAATACTTATGTAAATAAGGTATTTCTGTTTTTTTTTATTTTGATACATTTGCTAACATTTCTAAAAACCTGTTTTCACTTTGACATTATGGGGTATTGTGTGTAGATTGACATTTTTAATAAATTTTAGAATAAGGCTTTAACGTAACAAAATGTGGAAAAAGTCAAGGGGTCTGAATACTTTACGAATGCACTGTAGCTACCATAAATAAGTGATCTACTGTACAATCCTTTCTTCAACCCTTAACACTGGACTATATAAAGCTGAAAGAAATAAATCGGACTGAAGGCAAGCACTTGGCTAATTATTACCTGCCATGGTGTAAGGTCCACTTCTTATCAGTAACGTAACTTTTGGATTACCCAAGCTCAGTAGCAGGCGCCGAACCGAATGAGTGTGCTCGCATACTCCCTTAAAAGACATTTGCTTGAAAAATGAGAAAAAGCAGCAATAGTACTGTTTGTTCATTTTGAGTTGGCGTAGCCAGTATACTTCCTCAAAATAGTCACAATTGATCTAAGATAACTCAAGAAATCTTAGTCGTGCAATTGTACATCTAACTAAGATTTTTAGTGCAGTATTTCTCAATGAAAAAATGTGCATGAAAACGAGTTGTCTCGTTGAATGACAACAGACTTTTTATTGAAGAATCCCTACAGTTGACCAATCACTGACGAAGGGCTGTAGACTTCGGCTCCGAACTTCGGCATGCCTCCAGAATTTTTGGGGCGTGCCCGAACAACCTAAAAAACGCTCTCTGAAAACGAACAAAAACGTCACAAAATGTAATCATAATATATGCATAAACTCCACCAAACTGTTTCGGCTAGGAAGCATGGGGACGCCTTTAGGCCTATGGATTGAGCAATAAAAGCCCCACTGTGATCTTCTTAAATTAAACTTGTTTTTGACCGTGTGGAGCGCAACACCACAGAGGAATACCACAGTTGTACAACTTTTATTCCATAGGCTGGGATCCGCACTATGCAGCAATTGCAAGAGCGCATTTTTCACTGGCTGTCCATCTGGTTGCAAAAACAATGATTGATAGGCAGCTTAAACTTCTTCATATCAGCCATTATTGGGCTAAAATGCACATGCATTTGTGAACAGCTATCCACAACAATCACGGCGCAAATAGCTAAATGAGAGAGCAGCGGTTTGATTTATATCGTTGTTCTCTGTAGAAAGGTCGCTGGTTCTAATCCCCAAGCCGACTAGGTGAAAAATCTGTCGATGTGCCCTTGAGCAAGGCACTTAACCCTAATTGCTCCTGTAAGTCGCTCTGGATAAGAGCGTCTGCTAAATGACTAAAATGTAAATGTAAATATCAATTAGTGATATCCGTGTTGCCCGTAGGCTACACCACTGCTGTCATCTTTACCTCCAAGCGTTTATTCAAATTGGATGTACAATCTTTGGATGCCGACAGCAGTCGCACCATTGGAAGACATAGCTTGGACTGTAGCCTACCAAAAGCCTATTCCTGCTCTTTTCCCACGATGCATCAAATGGATTTGGTGTGCCATCATAGTGATCTGATTTGTGGTCAGATTCGCTAAGGCGGAACAAACTTAAACTCAAGCCTTTTTTCAGTGTTGATTTGTAAGTCATTGAGGAAAAAGAAAGGTGTCATAAAGATCTTTTTCGCAAACATCATTTCTGAATTTAAAAGTAATCCTAGAAGTAATCCTAGTTTTTCAAACGTGTCTGTAATCTGAATACAATATTTTTGCTGGTAATTTAACAGATTACAGTTAGTTTTTTGTAATCTGTTACTCCCCAACTGTGGTTATAGCAGTAAACCCTATGTAATCTGTTACTCCCCAACTGTGGTTATAGCAGTAAACCCTATGTAATCTGTTACTCCCCAACTGTGGTTATAGCAGTAAACCCTATGTAATCTGTTACTCCCCAACTGTGGTTATAGCAGTAAACCCTATGTAATCTGTTACTCCCCAACTGTGGTTATAGCAGTAAACCCTATGTAATCTGTTACTCCCCAACTGTGGTTATAGCAGTAAACCCTATGTAATCTGTTACTCCCCAACTGTGGTTATAGCAGTAAACCCTATGTAATCTGTTACTCCCCAACTGTGGTTATAGCAGTAAACCCTATGTAATCTGTTACTCCCCAACTGTGGTTATAGCAGTAAACCCTATGTAATCTGTTACTCCCCAACTGTGGTTATAGCAGTAAACCCTATGTAATCTGTTACTCCCCAACTGTGGTTATAGCAGTAAACCCTATGTAATCTCGGTGTCTGTGACTAGTAGCCTAACTCCAGTCTTTGCCACTTTAAGAATATTGAGCTCAGAGTCCCCTTGATTGAACTCAAAATGGAAAGGTTATGGTTACAGATTGTCAGTCTTTATGGTGGGAAAACAACATCTAAGTAATTATTAAACAGGAGAGAGAGTGAGAGTGTATTTTCTAACTGTGGAAGTTAATTTCAAACAGGCCTCGATTTAGACCAACACAAGTTTTACTCATTACTGTACCTATGTATTTTGGTTTTCTGTATTAGACTACTCTAACCCTTGTCATAGTGTAACAGTCTTGGCCCATGGGTTGTGTTTATCTCTTTACAGATGCTGCTCTGAGGTTCCTGGATAGAATAGCAGAGGAGCTTGGGCTGCCCATGAAGAAAATTGAGGTGTGTGTGTGTGGTTGGGTACATCTCTTTGACATTCAACTCTTCACACACTAGACCTCATGTCAACTCTGTCCTCCTCACACCTGTCCGTAGGTCTGCCCCGGTAGAGTTGTGTCTATCATGACCTGGCAGGGGACCAACCCTACTCTGAAGTCCATCCTGCTCAACTCCCATACTGACGTTGTGCCTGTTTACCAGGTAAATACCTGGGCCTGTATTCATAAAGCATATCAGAGTAGTACTGATCTAGGATCCGTTTTGTGTTTTAGATCACATTAAATAAGATCCATGGACAGGGGGGACCTGATCTTAGATCAGCACTCTCAGTCTGAGACGCCCCTTGAAACCCCCTGTCGTCTTTACCACTAGTGAGAGGGGAAACGCATGGAAAGGAACTCATCCTATGAATGTGTCTCATTCTAGGAACACTGGAAGTATGATTCGTTTGCTGCTGTGAAAGACCCAGAGGGCAACATCTACGCTCGGGGAACACAGGACATGAAGAGTGTCACCATACAGTGAGTGTGATGTCATCACCACCCTGTTGGGATATTCTATCGTAAGACAGCGGGTCAAAACTCCCATTTAGGGTTGCAAAATGTTGGTAACTTTCCCCAAATTCCTAGGTTTTCCAGAAATCCTAGTGGGTATATTAGTGGAATCAGGAGGGAATAAGCATACAATCTGGAACCCTCCAACCAGGATTTCTTGAAAACCTGGGAATTTTAGGAAACTTGCCAGAAATGTGCAACTGTACTCCAATTTCTATGTTACCAGTGTCCTTCACATCTCCCGTTTTTTTTATTTTTTATTTGCCTCATAACCAATATGGCTACTGCTCGATGTCTCCCATAGGTATATCCAGGCCATCAGAAGACTTAAAGCAGAAGGAAAGAAGTTTATGCGCACCATCCACCTAATGTTTGTGCCAGGTAGCCAATGACCGCTCATCCTAAAACGGGCTTCTCAGAATGTAAAACTGTGATAACACTGTAATAATGTTGTAATGGCATGGGTGCGACCCAAAAGGCACCCTATTTCTTATATAGTGCACTACTTTTGACCAGAGCCCTATTGGCCTTGATCAAAAGTAATGCACTATATAGGGAGGAGGATGCCATTTGAAACTCAATCCATCATTTGACACGGGCATAGACAATTTAAAAGCACTTTTGATACCTTCTGATATAAAAAGGGCATTGTAAATAAATGTGATTGATTGAGATATGCTTTATTACTCTTTGCTCTGGATTTGACACTTTGAATGTCTTAGATGAGGAGGTCGGAGGTCACAAAGGAATGGAGACGTTCGTGAAGCTCCCAGAGTTTCAGGAATTAAACATTGGCTTTGCACTTGACGAAGGTAAATAAACAAAAAACCTTTTCACCTTATTAACACCCAAATATAAACAGAGGCCTGCATCCCAAATTACACACTATTCTCTTTATAGTGCACTACTTTTGACCAGGCCCCATAGGGCTCTGGTGAAAAGTAGTGCACAATGTAAGGAATAGGGTGCCACTTGGGATATACTCAGAGACTATCCAGCACTGAAACGAACACTTCCTTAGGCCCTATACTTCCCTTTTGTCACCTGATATCTGTATGTTTTAGGTCTTGCCAACCCTGGGGAAGCCTTCACTGTCTTCTATGGCGAGAGGAATCCCTGGTGTAAGTATCAGCCCTGAGTATTAGAGATTCTGGCCCTAACTGTAACAATGAAGAATGATCAAATACACACGAGCACCCAGCAGTACGCACAAGAAATGTATCCTCCTCTCACCCTGGCCTTAGTCTGTCTGTGATCCTATCTCAATTAGTCTTTCCTCGATTCCTATCTCCTCGCCTCCTTCTCCAACCTGGACTCTGGGGTAGACGTAACATTGTAAATGAAAATCCGGGACACTCAAATGACTATGATATGTTACTTTTGGTATGGTATGTACACTGAACAAAAATATAAACGCAACGTGCAACAATTTCAAAGATTTTACTGCGTTGCAGTTCAAATAAGGAAATCAGTCAATTTAAATAAATTAATTAGGCCCTAATCTATAGATTTCACATGACTAGGCAGGGTGCAGCCATGAGTGGGCCTGGAAGGGCATAGGCCCACCAACTTGGCAGCCAGGCCCACCCACTGGTGAGCCAGCCCCAGCCAATCAGAGTGAGTTTTTCCCCACAAAAGGGCTTTATTACAGACAGAATTACTCCTCAGCACCACCCACCCCCCCTCAGACGATCCCGCAGGAGAAGAAGACAGATGTGGAGGTCCTGGGTTGGCACGGGTACACGTGGTCTGCGGTTGTGAAGCCGAATGGACGTACTGCCAAATTCTCTAAAATGACGTTGGAGGCAGCTTATGGTAGAGACATGAACGTTCAATTATCTGCTAACAGCTCTGGTGGACATTCCTGCAGTCAGCATGCCAATTGCACATTCCCTCAAAACTTGAGACATCTGTGGCATTGTGTTGTGACACAACTTCACATTTTAGTGGCCTTTTATTGTCTCCAGCACAAGGTGCACTTGGGTAATGATCATGCTGTTTAATCAGCTTTTTGATATGCTACACCTGTGGATGGAGAAATGCTCACTAACAGGGATGTGAACAAATTTGTACAATTCGTATGATATGTTACAACTTGCAATTCGTACGATATGTTACGAATTCCAATTTGTTGTGGCTAACGTTAGCTAGATGGCTAATGTTAGCTAGGCTAAGGGTTAGGTTTAGGAGTTAGGTTAAAGGGGTAAGTTTAGGGGAAGGATTAGCTAACATGCTAAGTAGATACAAAGTAGCTAGTAAGTAAGTGTTTATAGTTGTTTATTAGCTAAAATGCTAAAGTTGTCCGTGATGAGATTTGAACACGCCACCTTTGGGTTGCTAGACGTTCGCCTTTTACCAACCACTCTACTTTAGTTTTTGCCTTAAAGGGGAAATATGCAGTAGCTACATCCTGTTTTGGACTTTAAAATTATATGTACCCATTGATTCTTGAAGAGTATAACTTATAAATGCCTCATGAGCTTAGTTCAGCTGTCATACCCCATCAGAACCCTAAATATAAGCTTATTTTACTCCAATGTTTGTAAACCATGTAAATGTAAACAAATACTGTATAGCCTCAAAACATGGTTAAAACTATCATTTTGATATGGATGGTCAGTCCTTGCATCCATAGCTATGTCTATGAATTTGAGAGTGGTTACATTTTTCCAGCCCCATCCATCAGTGTTTTTGTGAAACTTACGGGGAGGGGTTTTGTTATTCTTTCAACTGCTGATTGCCGCTTTAACATTTACATTTGACATTTTAGTCATTTAGCAGATGCTCTTCACAGGAGGTTGGTGGCACCTTAATTGGGGAGGACAGGCTCGTGGTAATGGCTGGAGCGGAATGGGTGGAATGCCATTCCATTAACTCCGTTCCGTCCATTATTATGAGCCGTCCTCCCCTCAGCAGCCTCCACTGATTCTCTTATCCACGTTAGGTTATATGTAACCATACCAAATGTAACATATCATATTATTAATTAGTGTCCCAGATTTTCATTTACTATGTTAAGTCTAGTCTGAGACCAGTCTGCCTTCTCAAATGTATTGGAGAAGAAGGTCCAAGGATCCTCCCCTCAGACCTTTTCCACCAATGTGTTTTGAGAAAGAGGCGAGGAGAGAGGATGTGAAAAATAATTTTTGGGAGAAAGAGCCTGTGTCTGTTTCCCTCAGGGATAACGGTCCACTGCCCAGGCAGTCCTGGCCACGGCTCCAGGTTTGTGGAGAACACAGCTGCAGAGAAACTGGTAAGACTTCCTTTGTTCACAGCTAGAGGGACTTTGTGTGTCACAAATAGCACCTTATTCCCTGTGGGCCTTGGTCAAATGTATGGGCACTATAGAGAATAGGCGGAAGGTAGTCTAGCGGTTAAGAGCGTTGGGCCAGTAACTGAAAGGTTGCTGGTTTGAATCCCTGAGCCAACTAGGTGGAAAATCTGTTAATGTGCCCTTGAGAAATGCACTTAATCCTAATTGCTTTTGTAAGTCGCTCTGGATAAAAGTGTCTGCTAAATTACTCAAATGTAGGTCACCATTTTGGACACAGCCCTTGTCCGCACACACACTATAGTTCCCGTGGCCAACTTGGCCAAAGAGAGCAGAAAAGGGTTCTGATTCTGATCACTTGGAGGATGATGATGTCAGTGACCTCACCTGCTTTTGTCTGTCTCCCTTTTCTCAGCGCAGTATTATCAACTCCTTCCTGGACTTCAGAGAGAAGGAGAAACACAGGTCAGTAAGGCAGGAAGAGAGATGAGTTCAGTCACTAGAGGGAGCCATAGCTACTTAACAGGAAAGTGATTTTAGTATTTGTGTGTGTGTTGAAGGTTGAACACCAGCGAGTGTTTCACTCTTGGTGACGTCACCACCGTCAACATGACCATGGTGAAAGGAGGCGTGGCCTACAACGTCATCCCTGCCGAGATGGACGTCAGCTTCGACTTGAGAATACCACCCACAGTCAATTTGCAGGTGTGTCTGTGTGCCTTGTGTGCTAGGGAGGGGCATTTGAAATTATCAACGTTGGGGAAGCTAATCTGAATATGTAGTTTACCAAACTACCAACTAAGTTAAGCTACGCTAAAGCTACCCTTAAGAAAAAGAAAGTTACTTTGAAAAGGTAGGTCACTACATCCAAACTACTGCTTCATAAATGATCAAATCTAACAATAAAAGGCCACTCTAAAATGTGCAGTTTTGTCACACAACACAAATGTCTCAAGTTTTGAAGGAGCGTGCAGTTGGCATGCTGACTGCAGGAATGTCCATCGAGCTGTTGCCAGATAATTTAATGTTCATTTATCTACCATAAGCTGCCTCCAACATCGTTTTAGAGAATTTGCAGGTTACCTTAGTGTTCTTGGGCACAGGGACTATGGTGATCTGCTTGAAACATGTTGGTATTACAGACTCAGTCAGGGAGAGGTTGAAAATGTCAGTGAAGACACTTGCCAGTTGGTCAGCGCATGCTCGGAGTACACGTCCTGGTAATCGGTCTGGTCCTGCAGCCTTGTGAATGTTGAACTGTTTAAAGGTCTTACTCACATCGGCTACGGAGAGCGTGATCACACAGTCATCTGGAACAGCTGATGCTCTCATGCATGTTTCAGTGTTACTTGCCTCAAAGTGAGCATAGAAGTAATTTAGCTCGTCTGGTAGGCTCGTGTCACTGGGCAGTTCGCGGCTGTGCTTCCTTTTCTAGTCTATAATAGTTTGCAAGCCCTGCCACATCCAACGAGCGTCGGAGCCGGTGAAGTACGATTCGATCTTAGTCCTATATTGACGCTTTGCCTGTTTGATGGTTCGTCGGAGGGCATAGCTGTATTTCTTATAAGCTTCCAGGTTAGAGTCCCGCTCCTTGAAAGCGGCAGCTCTACCCTTTAGCTTAGTGCGGATGTTGCCTGTAATCCATGGCTTCTGGTTGGGGTATGTACGTACAGTCACTGTGGGGACGACGTCATCGATGCACTTATTGATGAAGCCGGTGACTGTATGTACATACCCCAACCAGAAGCCATGGGCCTACAGTGCATTCGGAAAGTGTTCAGACCCCTTGACCTTTTCCACATTTTGTTACGTTACAGCCTTATTCGAACATTGATAAAAATTAGTTTTTTCCCCTGATCAATCTGCACACAATAACCCATAGTGAATGGAAATATAACATTTACATAAGTATTCAGACCCTTTACTCAGTACTTTGTTGAAGCACCTTTGGCAGTGATTACAGCCTCAAATCTTCTTGGGTATGACGCTACAAGCTTGGCACACCTGTATTTGGGGAGTTTCTCCCATTCTTCTCTGCAGATCCTCTCAAGCTCTGTCAAATTGGATGGGGTGCGTCGCTGCACAGCTATTTTCAGGTCTCTCTGGAGATGTTAGATCTGGTTCAAGTCCGGGCTCTGGCTGGGCCACTCAAGGACATTCAGAGACTTGTCCCGAAGCTACTCCTGCGTTGTCTTGGCTGTGTGCTTAGGGTCGTTGTCCTGTTGGAAGGTGAACCTTCGCCCCAGTTTGAGGTCCTGAGCGCTCTGGAGCAGGTTTTCATCAAGGATCTCTCTGTACTTTGCTCCATTCATCTATCCCTCGATCCTGACTAGTCTCCCAGTCCCTGCCGCTGAAACATCCCACAGCATGATGCTGCCACCACCATGCTTCATCATAGGGATGGTGCCAGGTTTTCTCCAGACATGATGATTGGCATTCAGGCCAAAGAGTTCAATCTTGGTTTCATCAGACCAGAGAATCTTGTTTCTGGCTGTCATGTGCCTTTTACTGATGAGTGGCTTCCGTCTGGCCACTCTACCGTAAAGGCCTGATTGGTGAAGTGCTGCAGAGATGGTTGTCCTTCTGGAAGTAGCTTAGTGGTTAAGAGCGTTGTGCCAGTAACCGAAAGGTCGCTGGTTCTAGTCCCCGAGCTGACTAGGTGAAAAATCTGTCGATGTGCCCTTGAGCAAGGCACTTAACCCTAATTGCTCCTGTAAGTCGCTCTGGATAAGAGCGTCTGCTAAATGACTAAAATGTAAATGTAAAATGTATGGAAGGTTCTCCCATCTCCACAGAGGATCTGTGGAGCTCTGTCAGAGTGACCATCGGGCCCTTCTCCCCCGATTGCTCAGTTTGGCCGGGCGGCCAGCTCTAGGAAGAGTCTTGGTGGTTCCAAACTTCTTCATTTTAAGAATGATGGAGGCCACTGTGTTCTTGGTGACCTTCAATGCTGCGGAAATGTTTTGGTACCCTTCCCCAGATCTGTGCCTTGACACAATCCTGTCTTGGACCTCTATGGACAATTCCTTCGACCTCATGGCTTGGTTTTTGCTCTGACATACACTGTCAACTCTGGGACCTTTATATAGACAGGTGTGTGTGTGTGTGCCTTTCCAAATCATGTCCAATCAATTGAATTTACCACAGGTGGACTCCAATCAAGTTGTAGAAACATTTCAAGGATGTTCAATGGAAACAGGATGCACCTGAGCTAAATATCGAGTCTCATTGCAAAGGGTCCGAATAATTATGTAAATAAGGTATTTCCGTTTTTTTCTTTTTTTATACATTTTCAAAAATTTCTAAAAACTGTTTTTGCTTTGTCATTATGGGGTATTGATGAGGATCTTTAAAAAAAAATCAATTTTAGAATAAGGCTGTAACGTAACAAAATGTGGAAAAAATCAAGGGGTCTGAATACTTTCCGAATGCACTGTATGCCCTCCCAAGCCCACCCATGGCTGCGCCCCTGCCCAGTCATGTGAAATCCATAGATTAGGGCCTAATTTATTTATTTCAAGTGACTGTTTTCCTTACGTAACTCAGTAAAATCGTGTAAATTGTTGCATGTTGCGTTTATATTTTTGTTCAGTATAGTTCCGCTACCGCCAAGCTACTGCAAAATGTAGATAAATAGCTAATTGAAATACATAGACTCCCCAACACTGGAAATTATTTCACTATTCAAATAATATCATGATTTTTTTCTTCAGATATCCAGATAGACGAAATTCTAAAAATAAAATAAATTGCTCTACTCTCTTGACCAATCAGAATATAGCAAAATGCCACAACAGCAGACTGCGCAGTTGTTTTCATGGTGCTATATTGGTTGTTTTTGGCTAACAGTAGCTTAGGCTAACAGCAACACAGTGAAAGAAGTCTGATGCTCGCCATCATAGAACTGATTCTGTTTCCCAAAAAGTTTTCTGGTGAGTGTTTTGCATTGATCTGTATCAGGTCTAGTGGACCCTCCATTGGTACTAGGCTAATCGCTATTTGAAGGGGGGAAAATAGCATACCGTTGTCAGGGCTGACTGGAGGGCTAAATGTGCTATGATATTGAGAGAAAATTAGCTTGGAAATAAATAAAACAATCACTTTGCGTCGTCAGAACTGTAGGATACTTACAGTGCGCAACTGTAAATGTGCAATGTGCTGTCAAAGCCACGTGACGTCTGAAGCCGCAGAAGAAAACATAAACACTACATTCTAAAGTTTGTTGTTTTATTAAATGTAAGCATTTCAAATGTCATGGTATGTCCTTGTGTGTAACAATGTAACATGGACAATTTCATTTCATTTAGACAAAGCTTTTTCATTGTTAAAATAGGCCTAAAAGAAATTCTCAGAATGATTACTCTCACCAAGTGTTCGAATACTAACGTCCATTTGGATATCCGGATATTCCCTGCCCATCCCTACTGTGCCGGGGTTATTATTATACACAGTTCAGCTCAATGTTATCTTCAACATTTCAAATCTTTTATTCCATTGTTAGGAGTTCGAGGAGCAGATTAAGAAGTGGTGTAAGGAGGCGGGAGAGGGCATCACGTATGAGTTTGCTCAGGTCAGTACAATAAACTGCGTCTCTCCGTACACACACTTGTGTATGAGAATGGAGACACCTGATCACAGATCAGTAGAGGATGCTATAAAGTGTTCTCATCTGGGTCGTATTCACAAGGTACGAAATGGAAGTAAACGGACCCAAACAGGGAGCGACTCCCTAAACTTTCCAAGAAGAAACACTTGTTTTGTTTTCCGTTGTGAAATGTTTTGCTACGGTGTACATTAATGAATATGACCCAGTTGTAAAACGTTCTTTGTCCTCCTCCACAGAAACACATGAACCAGAATGTGACATCCACAGATGAGAGTGACCCTTGGTGGAACACCTTCAGCACAACCTGCAAAGCCATGTGAGGACACACACACATACACATACACAGACACACACACACACACACACACACTCAGTAAAGGTTAGCTTCATCTGAATTTCTCTCGCCTCAGGAAAATTACTTTGGAAAAGGAGATCTTTCCTGCAGCCACGGACAGTCGCTTCATCAGAGCGGTGAGTTAGAGCTAGGGCTGTTGTGGTGGCCGTATTACCGCCACACCGGCGGTCACGAGTCATGAAGGCAGTCAAATTCCATGTGACCGTTTAGTCACGGTAATTAGGCTTCTCCAAGCTCTGATGCTACTGATGGTCATTAGTAGCCTACCAAACTTGCCAACTGCCTGGTACTCAGCACTCTATTGTCCCTCTAATCACTCTGACATCAATGCAAATAATATCGAAAATCTAATCAAACACTTCATGAGAGCTCATATTGCGCAACATTTCTAAAGGCTATGCAATTGTGTGAGAAAACAGAGTGATAACCTCTATTAAAAAGAGGAGGACCCATCAGCTTTCTATAGGCTAGGCCTACTATATTTATTTCTCTACTTTCCTAATATTAAGCACATTGCTTATATTTACCACAGGAGGATAGCCTACCTGGCTGGCATGAAAATGAACCACGGGAAAAGCGTCCTCCATTCGCTATTTAAGTGCATAGATGACATGTATTTTTTCCAACTGCCCCTGTTTTGAGACAGGTGCATGATAATGGTCCGTTCTAAATCAAAACAAATTTCACACATATTATTTAGTATACAGTACCAGTCAAAAGTTTGGACACACCTACTCATTCCAGGGTTTTTCTTTATTTTTACTATTTTCTACATTGTAGAATAACAGTGAAGACATAAACTATTAAATAACACATATGGAATCATGTAGTAACCAAGAAAGTGTTAAACAAATCAAAATATATTTTATATTTTTGATTCTTCAAAGTAGCCACCCTTTGCCTTGATGACAGCTTTGCACATTCTTGGCATTCTCTTAACCAGCTTCACCTGGAATGCTTTTCCAACAGTCTTGAAGGAGTTCCCACATGTGCTGAGCACTTGTTGGCTGCTTTTCCTTCACTCTGCGGTCCAACTCATCCCAAACCATCTCAATTGGGTTGAGGTGGGGTGATTGTGGAGGCCAGGTTATCTGATGCAGCACCCCATCACTCTCCTTCTTGGTCAAATAGCCCTTACACAGCCTGGAGGTGTGTTTTGGGTCATTGTCCTGTTGAAAAACAAATAGTCCCACTAAGCCCAAACCAGATGGGATGGTGTATCGCTGCAGAATACTGTGGTAGCCTTGCTGGTTAAGTGTGCCTTGAATTCTAAATAAATCACAGACGGTGTCACCAGCAAAGCACCATCACACCTCCTCCTCCATGCTTCACAGTGGGAACCACACATGCGGAGATCATCCGTTCACCTACTCTGTGTCTCACAAATCTCAAATTTGGACTCATCAGACCAAAGGACAGATTTCCACCGGTCTAATGTCCATTGCTCATGCTTCTTGGCCCAAGCAAGTCTCTTCTTATTATTGGTGTCCTTTAGTAGTGGTTTCTTTGCAGCAATTCGACCATGAAGACCTGATTCACGCAGTCTCCTCTGAACAGTTGATGTTGAGATGTCTGTTACTTGAACTCTGTAAAGCATTTATTTGGGCTGCAATCTGAGGTGCAGTTAACTCTAATGAACTTATCCTCTGCAACAGATGTAACTCTGGGTCTTCCTTTCCTGTGGCGGTCCTCATGAGAGATGGTTTTTGCGACTGCACTTGAAGAAACTTTAAATGTTCTTGACATTTTCCGGATTGACTGACTTTCATGTCTTAGTAATGATGGACTGTCGTTTCTCTTTGCTTATTTGAGCTGTTCTTGCCATAATATGGACTTGGTCTTTTACCAAATAGGGCTATCTTCTGTATACCACCCCTACCTTGTCACAACACAACTGATTGGCTCAAACACATTAAGAAGGAAAGAAATTCCACAAATTAACTTTTAAGAAGGCACACCTGTTAATTGAAATGCATTCCAGGTGACTACCTCATGAAGCTGGTTGAGAGAATGCCAAGAGTGTGCAAAGCTGTCATCAAGGCAAACGGTGGCTATTTGAAGAATCTCAAATATAAAATATATTTTCATTTGTTTAACACTTTTTTGGTTACTACATGATTCCATATGTGTTATTTTGTAGTTTTGATGTCTTCACTATTATTCTACAATGTAGAAAATATTAAGGATAAAGAAGAACCCTGGAATGAGTAGGTGTGTCCAAACTTTTGATAATGTTTGTATCACAACTAAAGTGGCCAAATAACTTCTTGAAATTAAGCACATTCATCTGCTTTACAAGGGGTGTAGAGCTTAACTGGCATACATAAGCAGCGCGTGAGTTTCAAGTTTGGGCAAGATCATTTTCACCATAAAAATGTACCTTTTTATAATAAAAGCGTTACCTGCATAATCGCGTATGACTTTTGATAATGGTGTTTTCCCGCTAATGGAACATTTCTGCTTATTACTGCCATGTGCACATTGCTGCACTTATAATGTGAAGAAATAGCCTAATAGTTTATCAACATTTTAAGCTAAACGTTCTGATCTGTTGTGTCAGCCACATTGTGTATACAGTGGGGGGGGAAAAGTATTTAGTCAGCCACCAATTGTGCAAGTTCTCCTACTTAAAAAGATGAGAGGCCTGTAATTTTCATCATAGGTACACATCAACTATGACAGACAAATTGAGAGAAAAAAATCACATTGTAGGATTTTTAATGAATTTATTAGCAAATTATGGCGGAAAATAAGTATTTGGTCACCTAAAAACAAGCAAGATTTCTGGCTCTCACAGACCTGTAACTTCTTCTTTGAGAGGCTCCTCTGTCCTCCACTCCGTTACCTGTATTAATGGCACCTGTTTGAACTTGTTATCAGTATAAAATACACCTGTCCACAACATCAAACAGTCACACTCCAAACTCCACTATGGCCAAGACCAAAGAGCTGTCAAAGGACACCAGAAACAAAATTGTAGACCTGCACCAGGCTGGGAAGACTGAATCTGCAATAGGTAAGCAGCTTGGTTTGAAGAAATCAACTGTGGGAGCAATTATTAGGAAATGGAAGACATACAAGACCACTGATAATCTCCCTCGATCTGGGGCTCCACGCAAGATCTCACCCCGTGGGGTCAAAATGATCACAAGAACGGTGAGCAAAAATCCCAGAACCACACGGGGGGACCTAGTGAATGACCTGCAGAGAGCTGGGACCAAAGTAACAAAGCCTACCATCAGCAACACACTACGCCGCCAGGGACTCAAATCCTGCAGTGCCAGACGTGTCCCCCTGCTTAAGCCAGTACATGTCCAGGCCCGTCTGAAGTTTGCTAGAGTGCATTTGGATGATCCAGAAGAGGATTGGGAGAATGTCATATGGTCAGATGAAACCAAAATAGAACTTTTTGGTAAAAACTCAACTCGGGGGGGGGGGGGTGCTACACCAATGCTAATAACTATAAGTTAAGGATAACTATAAGAAATCTTAAGATGTGTTAAATAAATGATATCCAGCTATGCATTTCACTTGCTACATACAGTGAGGGAAAAAGGTATTTGATCCCCTGCTGATTTTGTATGTTTGCCCACTGACAAAGACATGATCAGTCTATAATTTTAATGGTAGGTTTATTTGAACAGTGAGAGACAGAATAACAACAAAAATGTTATAAATTGATTTGTATTTTAATGAAGGAAATAAGTATTTGACCCCTCTGCAAAACATGATTTAGTACTTGGTGGCAAAACCCTTGTTGGCAATCACAGAGGTCAGACGTTTCTTGTAGTTGGCCACCAGGTTTGCACACATCTCAGGAGGGATTTTGTCCCACTCCTCTTTGCAGATCTTCTCCAAGTCATTAAGGTTTCGAGGCTGACGTTTGGCAACTCGAACCTTCAGCTCCCTCCACAGATTTTCTATGGGATTAAGGTCTGGAGACTGGCTAGGCCACTCCAGGACCTTAAAGTGCTTCTTCTTGAGCCACTCCTTTGTTGCCCTGGCCGTGTGTTTTGGGTCATTGTCATGCTGGAATACCCATCCACGACCCATTTTCAATGCCCTGGCTGAGGGAAGGAGGTTCTCACCCAAGATTTGACGGTACATGGCCCCGTCCATCGTCCCTTTGATGCGGTGAAGTTGTCATGTCCCCTTAGCAGAAAAACACCCCCAAAGCATAATGTTTCCACCTCCATGTTTGACGGTGGGGATGGTGTTCTTGGGGTCATAGGCAGCATTCCTCCTCCTTCAAACACGGCGGGTTGAGTTGATGGCAAAGACCTCGATTTTGGTCTCATCTGACCACAACACTTTCACCCAGTTCTCCTCTGAATCATTCAGATGTTCGTTGGCAAACTTCAGACGGGCCTGTATATGTGCTTTCTTGAGCAGGGGAACCTTGCGGGCGCTGCAGGATTTCAGTCCTTCACGGCGTAGTGTGTTACCAATTGTTTTCTTGGTGACTATGGTCCCAGCTGCCTTGAGATCATTGACAAGATCCTCCCGTGTAGTTCTGGGCTGATTCCTCACTGTTCTCATGTTCATTGCAACTCCACGAGGTGAGATCTTGCATGGAGCCCCAGGCCGAGGCACATTGACAATTATTTTGTGTTTCTTCCATTTGCGAATAATCGCACCAACTGTTGTCACCTTCTCACCAAGCTGCTTGCCGATGGTCTTGTAGCCCATTCCAGCCTTGTGTAGGTCTACAATCTTGTCCCTGACATCCTTGGAGAGCTCTTTGGTCTTGGCCATGGTGGAGAGTTTGGAATCTGATTGATTGCTTCTGTGGACAGGTGTCTTTTATACAGGTAACAAACTGAGATTAGGAGCACTCCCTTTAAGATTGTGCTCCTAATCTCAGCTCGTTACCTGTATAAAAGAAACCTGGGAGCCAGAAATATTTTTGATTGAGGAGGAGTCAAATACTTATTTCCCTCATTAAAATGCAAATCAATTCATAACATTTTTGACATGCGTTTTTCTGGATTATTTTGTTGTTATTCTGTCTCTCACTGTTCAAATAAACCTACCATTAAAATTATAGACTGATCATGTCTTTGTCAGTGGGAAAACGTACAAAATCAGCAGGGGATCAAATACTTTTTTCCCTCACTGTAAGTGGCTAGATGTCAAAATCAAGCTTCTTCGTGACAGCAGACATTCAATTCCCTCCTAGATCAAGATCCCTGTTTTATGTGCGATTTCTATTTAATTTTTTTATAGCGCCCCTTGTGTGCACTTCCGGTAATACCGTATACCTTGGTATGGTACAGAAACGGAATGAAAATCTGGATACCGCCCAACCCTAGTACACCATCACAACATCTTACTTTCAAACACTTAGAACTGCATGTGTTTTTATGTGTTTATGACCTCAGGACAAAACATGTTTTGTTATTGTAGAAGCTTGCACTTCAAAGCTATGTCCATATGTGTTGTTCATTTTACTTGATCATTAGGAGAAGAAATGCTTCATAAATGCCACAAGCTAAACATCTCCATAGAGACAAACCACTGTGCTTTGAATGAGCTAAATGTGGTTCTCCCTTTAAATGCATCTCTCTTGAGATTGATAAGATATTTGGTGCAATAGTAGAGCGAGGGCCCTTACCTAAAAAAATGACATTCAAAGTTGTTCTATGCTGTTTTATTCATTGAGGCAACAAGACCAAAAACATAAGTGTAAATATAAGTGTTTTTGCTGTTATGTCATTGTCAGTGTGTCAGATATTAGTTGCAATGCTTTCTTGACAAAAAGGAGGATCTTTCAATCATGTTTGTGTCCTGCTGTAGGTGGGCCTCCCTGCCATCGGCTTCTCCCCAATGAACCGGACCCCCATCCTGCTGCACGACCACAACGAATATCTGAACGAGCAGGTCTTCCTCAAAGGCATTCAGGTGTATGAGAACCTAGTGCCAGCATTAGCCAATGTGCCTGCTCTGCCTTGCGATGCCTAGAGCAGCAATTCTTAACTGGTGGGTGACCCTAATTTGATTTTTTTAAAAATTTGCCACTCGAATATTGGGTCACGACTGAGGCAACCCAGTTAAATGTGTGTCCCGAAACCAAACCAGTTGAGAACCTCGGCTACTTCACATCCTGTGTCTCGTAACCTCTCCTTGGCACGTGTCGGTCTGATCTGACACATCTCACAGATAACCATCTGAATTATTCAAGATTAGTTTTAGAATAATCCAGAAGGCAGCGCCAAAGAATAAAATGAGATTACTTCATCCAGATATAATTTATAATAGTCCAATTTAGCACTTCACATTTGGCACTATGCCTTCTGTATGCATAAAATCTATTTTATTTTCTCTGACCATACATAGCAACTCAGGACACCGTTATACCATTGCATTACACAACATTGTAATAACAGCCTTGTAACAACATTATACTTAAGAGAATGTGTTTAATGTGTCTGTGTAAGAGGTCTTGACAAAGGGTGTGATCATTCACTACTCTAATCAATGTATGGATTTAAGTCTTAAATGCTTATCAAAGATGTATTAGAGATAAGCAACACGGTTATATCAGATGACGCTCTTTGAAGTTGGTAATTAAAATGCTGCTTGATCCAAACCTTGCACAGAATTACTTCAGATGTCCCTCCACAATATTACTTATCCACTTAAACCTAGCATCCACTATCCCCTCATTTATTCTAGTTGATCTGCCATTTGCTCTTTGGACAACTTTCTAACAGCCATTTGTTTAAAACAACTTAGATTCACAGTTAGTGAAATTGAGCTATAGTGGAAATATAACATTACATTACATTTGAGTCATTTAGCAGACGCTCTTATCCAGAGCGACTTACAGGAGCAATTAGGGTTAAGTGCCTTGCTCAAGGGCACATCGACAGATTTTTCACCTAGTCGGCTCGGGGATTAGAACCAGCGACCTTTCGGTTACTGGCACAACGCTCTTAACCACTAAGCTACCTGCCGCCCAACACAGAACCCAATTGGGCAAGAGAGGTTCTGTTATTAAAATAGTTAATGAGTATTCTAAAAAGCTCTAAATCCATCATTAGATTGTTAAGGAAGTGGTATGTCGGTACACTTACCAAGTTCTCTCCTATTCAACTTGGTATCTTCCAGTCCTATTGTAATTTGATAGGCTAAGCTACTTCTTTATTATTTATGTCATAACCTTATTGATTAGCCCCCAACCACACAAACAAGACTGAAGTAATGCCATGTTAACGTTCATATATTTCATAAACTACTTGAAACCACAGATTCATATAATGATTTTTGTTTGAAAATGAATTTATATGCCTGATAAATACACATGTTTTGATTTTTTTTTTTGATAGAGCTGATTTGAATAAAGATCTCACTTTATTGAACTGCTGTGTTATTTGATTTAGAGGTTGAGTGTTAATATTTTCTGCCCAGGGACTGCAGATAGAAAAGCGCTGTGTAGCTAAATCTGTTCTGACAAATAAAAAACAGAGATCGTATCATGCACACCACAATGCTCAAAACACTATAAGACAAAAATATCTTACATCATGAACATAAGATATTTTTGTTAAGCAAAATGTTGTTTTAGTAAACCGAATACATGAAACAGAGGAACTGAGACATAAGGAATAACTGTATTATAGCCACGTGGGGGCCGTAATCACCATAATAAGCACCATAATGTGTTTATCACCAGTATGAACCAACCCTGCTCCCAACAGTAACAGCATTGCCACTACTTATAGACTCACAATCACATTTACATTTACGTCATTTAGCAGACGCTCTTATCCAGAGCGACTTACAAATTGGTGCATTCACCTTCTGATAGCCAGTGGGACAACCATTTTTTCTATTTTATTTTTTAGAGTATATTTTTAATTTTCATTAGTTTTATATATATATATAACCTTTTTATTTATGTATTTTTTTGTGTGGGGTGGGGGGGTTTAAGGATTACTTTTATACTATCCCAGGTATTCCTTAAAGAGGTAGGGTTTCAAGTGTCTCCGGAAGGTGGTTAGTGACTCCGCTGTCCTGGCGTTGTGAGGGAGCTTGTTCCACCATTGGGGTGCCAGAGCAGCGAACAGTTTTGACTGGGCTGAGCGGGAACTGTGCTACCGCAGAGGTAGGGGGACCAGCAGGCCAGAGGTGGAAGAACAATGACAGTAATGGTGAAGATTTTAAAAAAATTTGATCCTCATTGAGTTACCTTTTTTAGTAGAAGCTACAACATTCTTAGAATAATATAAACTGGTTAGTATTCCCATTTATAGTGTTTCCCAATTCCCTGTGAGTGCTCAACTATCCAGTTCTACCTTTTGTACTTTAAGGTCATGTTCATTATATAGTAATTTTGGATTGAGCTTAAAAAAATATGTGTCAATACAGTGAATGACTAGGCACAAGCCAAAGAGCTGGAGGCTAGAGGAAGAGGATGAAGAGGGAGAAAATTAACCTAGTCTGAGACCGCAGGGTTGTGTCATAGAGAGAGACATGCTGTAGTGGAACTGCATGATACGTGTGATTAACATTGAGACTGACCTAACATGACCAGAGATCATAGGAAGATCTGGCTGATATTACCGACATTACAACTACAGTGCCTTGCAAAAGTATTCACCCCCCTTGGTGTTTTCCTATTTTGTTCCATTACAACCTGTAATTTAAATGGATTTTTATTTGGATTTAATGTAATGGACATACACAAAATAGTCCAAATTGGTGAAGTGAAATGAAATAAATTACTTGTTTAAAAAAATTATAACAAATAAATAACATAAAAGTGGTGCGTGCATACAGTGGGGGGAAAAAAGCAATTAATCAGCCACCAATTGTGCAAGTTCTCTCACTGAAAAAGATGCGAGAGGCCTGTATTTTCATTATAGGTACACGTCAACTATGACAGACAAAATGAGGGGAAAAAAATCAGGAAAATCACATTGTAGGATTTTTTTGAATTTATTTGCAAATTATGGTGGAAAATAAGTATTTGGTTAATAACAAAAGTTTCTCAATAATTTGTTATATACCCTTTGTTGGCAATGACACAGGTCAAACGTTTTCTGTAAGTCTTCACAAGGTTTTCACACACTGTTGCTGGTATTTTGGCCCATTCCTCCATGCAGATCTCCTCTAGAGCAGTGATGTTTTGGGGCTGTCGCTGGGCAACACGGACTTTCAACTCCCTCCAAAGATTTTCTATGGGGTTGAGATCTGGCTAGGCCACTCCAGGACCTTGAAATGCTTCTTACGAAGTCACTCCTTCGTTGCCCGGGCGGTGTGTTTGGGATCATTGTCATGCTGAAAGACCCAGCCACGTTTCATCTTCAATGCCCTTGCTGATGGAAGGAGGTTTTCACTCAAAAATCTCACGATACATGGCCCCATTCATTCTTTCCTTTACACGGATCAGTCGTCCTGGTCCCTTTGCAGAAAAACAGCCCCAAAGCATGATGTTTCCACCCCCATGCTTCACAGTAGGTATGGGGTTCTTTGGATGCAACTCAGCATTCTTTGTCCTCCAAACACGACGAGTTGAGCTTTTACCAAAAAGTTATATTTTGGTTTCATCTGACCATATGACATTCTCCCAATCCTCTTCTGGATCATCCAAATGCACTCTAGCAAACTTCAGACGGGCCTGGACATGTACTGGCTTAGGCAGGGGGACACTGCAGGATTTGAGTCCCTGGCGGCGTAGTGTGTTACTGATGGTAGGCTTTGTTACTTTGGTCCCAGCTCTCTGCAGGTCATTCACTAGGTCTCCCCGTGTGGTTCTGGGATTTTTGCTCACCGTTCTTGTGATCATTTTGACCCCACGGGGTGAGATCTTGCATGGAGCCCCAGATCGAGGGAGATTATCAGTGGTCTTGTATGTCTTCCATTTCCTAATAATTGCTCCCACAGTTGATTTCTTCAAACCAAGCAGCTTACCTATTGCAGCTTCAGTCTTCCCAGCCTGGTGCAGGTCTACAATTTTGTTTCTGGTGTCCTTTGACAGCTCTTTGGTCTTGGCCATAGTGGAGTTTGCAGTGTGACTGTTTGAGGTTGTGGACAGGTGTCTTTAATACAGGTAACAAGTTCAAACAGGTGCCATTAATACAGGTAACGAGTGGAGGACAGAGGAGCCTTATTTTCCACCATAATTTGCAAATATATTCATTAAAAATCCTACAATGTGATTTTCTGGATTTCTTTTCTCAATTTGTCTGTCATAGTTGACGTGTACCTATGATGAAAATTACAGGCCTCTCTCATCTTTTTAAGTGGGAGAACTTGCACAATTGGTGGCTGACTAAATACTTTTTTTCCCCACTGTATGTATTCACCCCCTTTGCTATGAAGCCCCTAAATAAGATCTGGTATACACCTGTTCTGAAAGGCCCCAGAGTCTGCAACACCACTAAGCAAGGGGCACCACCAAGCAAAAGGCACCATGAAGACCAAGGAGCTCTCCAAACAGGTCAGGGACAATGTTGTGTAGAAGTACAGATCAGGGTTGGGTTATAAAAAAATATCCGAAACTTTGAACATCCCACGGAGCACAATTAAATCCATTATAAAAAAATTGAAAGAATATGACACCACAACAAACCTGCCAAGAGAGGGCCGCCCACCAAAACTCACAGACCAGGCAAGGAGGGCATTAATCAGAGAGGCAACAAAGAGACCAAAGATAACCCTCAAGGAGCTGCAAAGCTCCACAAAGGAGATTGGAGTATCTGTCCATAGGACCACTTTAAGCCGTATTCTCCACAGAGCTGGGCTTTACGGAAGAGTGGCCAGAAAAAAGCCATTGCTTGAAGAAAAAAATAAGCAAACACGTTTGTTGTTCGCCAAAAGGCATGTGGGAGACTCCCCAAACATATGGAAGAAGGTGCTCTGGTCAGATGAGACTAAAATTGAGCTTTTTGACCATCAAGGGAAATGCTATGTCTGGTGCAAACCCAACACCTCTCATCACCCCGAGAACACCATCCCCACAGTGAAGCATGGTGGTGGCTGCATCATGCTGTGGGGATGTTTTTCCTCAGCAGGGACTGGGAAACTGGTCAGAATTGAAGGAATAATGGATGGTGCTAATTTCCATACAGGGAAATTCTTGAGGGAAACCTGTTCCAGAGATTTGAGACTTGGACGGAGGTTCACCTTTCAACAGGACAATGACCCTAAGCATACTGCTAAAGCAACACTCGAGTGGTTTAAGGGGAAACATTTAAATGTCTTGGAATGTCCTAGTCAAAGCCCAGACCTCAATCCAATTGAGAATCTGTGGTATGACTTAACGATTCCTGTACACCAATGGAACCCATCCAACTTGAAGGAGCTGGAGCAATTTTGCCTTGAAGAATGGGCAAAAATCCCAGTGGCTAGATGTGCCAAGCTTATAGAGACATACCCCAAGAGACTTGCAGCTGTAATTGCTGCAAAAGGTGGCTCTACAAAGTTTTGAATTTGGGGGGTTGAATAGCTATGCACGCTCAAGTTTTCTGTTTTTTTGTCTTATTTCTTGTTTGTTTCACAATTATTATTTTTTTTGCATCTTCAAAGTGGTAGGCATGTTGTGTAAATCAAATGATACAAACCCCACAAAAATCTATTTTAATTCCAGGCTGTAAGGCAACAAAATAGGAAAAATGTCAAGGGGGGTGAATACTTACGCAAGCCACTGTATGTATTCACGGTCCGTCGGACTTAACAATGTTCCCTGTGTCAGTGCACAAAACCAAAGTACTTATTTATGTAGGGCTATTATAACTCGGATATGGCTACAGACACAGACACATGAAGTGTTGAACTACTGTTCAATTCCCTTTAGAGATCCATTCCAATTAATGGAGTAGGGCCCTCCTAGGGGGGATCAGCAGGAAGAGAAGAGGTGGTGGTGGGTCAGTAATTAGAATGCTCTCCCCAGGATGTGGCAACAGGATTAAAGCCTGCAGGGCTGTCAGGGAGAGTCCTCAAAGCTGTAACCTCTAGCACCCACCAAGCACCCCACCGCCCCCTCACCCCTTCCTGGAGATTGGAGAAACAGGAGTAGATGCTGCCACACTCTCTGTCCGTCTGCTTAGTAGGAGAGAGATGGGATTTTCAGTAGTAGTAGATCTCCTCAATTACAACTTCCTCAATATGTGTTGGCCTGCCCAAATTTCCTGCAACTCCACCTTATAATTATAGTGCAAAAGTCATTGACTGACCTTGTATTTTGCACAACAACGTGCGTTTTGCGCTTCTTATCGTATCATACTTGCGCTTATCCTATACTTGCTTATGTCGTTTTATGTTGTGTGTTTTGATCCATCCTTTTATGTCGCACACAAATTGACTTTTGGGGAGATTTTAAAGATTTACTGAACTGAACAAATAACACCATATTTGTGTTCACAATTTTCAAAGTGTTTTCAGAATAGCCGGTACTGACATCAATCTCACATGACTCTGAAATGTGTCTTTTGATTGCCTTTTATTCAGGAGAGCATTTTGCATCATCATGATGTTGTGGCCGGTGACACTTTGCTTCTTAAAAGTCCAATATTGAAAACTTGAATGCCGACATTCAAGACATTTTGACACTGTATCAACAGTGGACTAATGAAAAAAAAACTGCCAAAAGATGAGTGGAGTTCCCCTTTAACTTTGATAGCATTAATATGTGGAGAGCATGCATACTAGTTAATCTTACACCTGCTGGTGTTGCCTCCCTGCCTGCCGGTGGGGTCCCTCACATGGGGCACAAGCAAGCCAGCCAGAACTCAACAAGCTGCTTTGAAGCAGCAATCTCATGTAACCTTTAGAAGGTCAGTTTAACAGCAGAGAGCTGAGCTCTTCAGTCTAGATTTCACCAAGGACCCCTAGGGGCCGAGGCACAAAGAGGGACCTGTTAGATTCATTAACTGGCACAAGGCCAGTGCTCAAGTAAGCAATGTACTGTATGTCAATGACTGTTAGGGTTTTTCAAGCTTGAAGAAGACTGGTAGAATAGAAAGGACCTAATTGAATTGAGGTTTTGTCCAGTTGGTATAGACTACATTGGCAAGTCTCCTACGCACAGTGATTTATCAGAGAAGCTCGAGCTCTTACACAGTTGCGCATCAGTGGGTTCACATGATAGCAGTAGGATATAGGCTTTCCAATAGTCTGATGAAGTAGGAGGAAAAACAGTAGGCAAACTGCATTGCATAAGTTTCCTTCATGCATATCAAGTTTCCTTTTTTTATCTCTACATCACTAGGCTCAACACATGAAAATAAATATAGGCATAGTAAATCACAATTTAGATATTTTATTTAATAATAAAAATTAATCATTTTTAATGTCAATAAATATTGAAAGCATAAAAAATACATGACAATTAGGGGCAGAATGTAAATGTTTTTATTTGTGAATTAAATTAACTGACAATGTATTTGAAGTCTAGCTCATCTATGAAATTGAGCCTATATCACATTGGTTTAAAGTGGTCCTCTTAATGCGTGAAATAGAGATAGACTACACTCGTGCCTGTGCGTCGGATGCTGCTGAGACTAGTGCAGAGTGGGCGAGTGAGCGACTCTGCGGTATTTTGGCAGGAGCATCAATCATAGGCTAGTCCACACTTGTTTACGGTCGAAATCAGCAGGAGACCCGAAATAACGTCGAAAGGCGATTGGACATTAACGTTTTGGGATCTTAGTTCACATTTTTCCTAACCCGTTTTCAAGATTTTTAATGGAAAATGGCGATATGCACTCCGTCTTGCAGCATTGTCTGCTTGGTATCGTTCCAGATTATCTTGATTTTCAATGTACAGTGGCCTGGCGCGGATGGTCTCACGTTCCCCCAGCAATACACGTAAGTATTCTATATCACTGGCTGCTCAGCTGTCACACACAACATGCGTATTTTGAGGTCCGGCATTTGAATGCCACGTTGGGTGACGGTCATTGTGCTGGTGTACCACCTCTGGTTTCCTTTCTTCAAATTAGGTTACTCACATTGTATTTCTGACGTGAACATATTTCTCGCTATGCTGCGACTGCTCTGGCAAACGAGGAACGGGCAATAAAACAGCCAATATAGGATGTTTAAGGGATGTGGACCGTTGCTTTCTGTCATATCACAATACATGAAGGAATCACATTCAAACACGGTACTATTTACTATTCACCAATTACCATTTACCATTGACTACATGTATCATTTACCATTTAGTCTAACAGTTAAGAGCGTTGGGCCGTTAACTGAAAGGTTGCTGGTTCGAACTCCCGAGCTGACTAGGTGAAAAATCTGTCCATGTGCCCTTGAGCAAGGCACGTAACCCTAATTGCTCCTTTAAATCGCTCTGTATAAGAACGTCTGCTAAATGACTAAAATGTAAATGTATTAGAATTGTTATTTTTGTAATATCATTGGCACAAACAATACTGTTTGCTTGCCACCCAGTATCTGTCAACAGTCTGGTTGGCAAGAGCAGGCTGCTTGCCACCTAATTGATGGTTGTTGTGTTCATATGAGGCTCAATGGGTGTTTCGTCGTCACAACATCTCTGTGTGTCTCATGATGTCAATGCAGTGCTGGCTGCTGTCTTTGATCAAAGTGGGCAGCATCACTATTTTTTGTTTCCTTCCAGACAGTCACAGTCCTGAGGGAATATAGTGGAGGTCATTTGTTTTTGGACATGGTAGTATATAGCCATGATCCACTACTTCTACTGCTGTAAAATCTTTAGCTTTTGTTTGGGATTTAAGCACATTGAATCAGAATGACACAACAACATTATGTGGACATGCTTTTATTTGGGATGTAGGTCTAGTTAGGTAGCCTATGAGGTGTGTGGTTTTGTTTGGTACTTTGTACAGAACGACATACATATCAATCAATCAAATGTATTTATAAAGATCTTTTTACATCAGCAGATGTCACAAAGTGCTATACAGAAACCCAGCCGAAAACCCCAAACTGCAAGCAATGCAGATGTATCAAACCATCAACATATCTTGATGGTTTGCCGACAACTTGATGGGATTGCATTTTCTATAGGAGACATGATGGTTGTGTGTGCAGGGATACAGAACACTGTTGTTCAATACATTTAATAAACCGTTTTTATTGCACAAACAACATACATTCTAGTGTAGTCTACTGTCTCAACGGAGTCACTCACTCCAGTCCTCTCTTTGAAAGACTTTAAAATTGATCAAGGGTTTCAGAGGAGTGCTGATCTAGGATCAGGTTCCCCCTGTCCATATAATCTTATTCATTGTGATCTAAAAGGCAAAACTGATCCTAAATCAGCACTCCTACTCTGAGAAGCTTGAGACATATGGCCCTTCCTTATGTGGCTTCTGGGACTACGACCACCAGATCTGGAATGTAATCTGGGGCTAAAGCATGTCTTACTTTAAAAATGGATCAATAGAATGAATCAATAAAAACCTCTATAGCCATTAGCCCAAATAGACAATCTCTGTGCCCTAATTGGTCTGTGAGAGGAGATTAAACACTAGCCGGAAACAAGACAGGTAACTGTGACTTAAAGGAAGTAAGTAGCCTACAGTTGTAAGGCTTGGCTTACTCTGGCAGTTACAGTGAGCCCGACAGTAATAATGCCATTCTAGCTATGCTTGAAGCTGATTTTAATAAGCCTGCGTTCAAAATTCATGTTCAAAATTATCCTCAATCTGTCCATAGTGGAATAGTCATCACATTGTGACCTACTTTTAATCATCCTCTTCCCAGCTCTTCTTCTCCAACCTTTAACCCTTTCACTCGTAAGCACAGCTGGCACTTAACTTGAGACCACAGCTTTCCGGGCCTTTCTCCAGACTGCAGTCAGGCAGGCAGGCTCTCACCAGATGGGGCTGGGATCTTTGGGACAGTAGAAGGAAACTCTGGGCCAATGACAGCTGGAGTTACTGGGAGTGGTTTGTTGTGTATCAATGAGAGCAAGGGTCTTTGGAGCAGCAGGGGAGGTGTGTGTGTAGGGGGGAGTGGAGTGTGTGTGGGGGAGTTATTGTGGGGGGTACATAAGGCTGCCCTCTCCTTCCCTCTGGTTATCTGCTGAGTGAGTGCATTGAATCAGCACCACTTCCCTCAGCCCTGGGTCTCTTCATGTAAGCTAAATGAAGCAGAATCGCTACACTGAAGAACAGCAGCTCCGTCCAATTAAGAATTAATACTGCAGCAGTCAGGGTTTATCCCTTTTCTCCATCCCTCACAGCCCCCATCCCTCCCTCCCCTCCGTCTCTTTCTCACACTCGCTCTTCCTCAGAATCTCTCTCTCCTGCCTCTTCCCGTCTCGTTCACCCCAACCTCTCTGTATATCTCATCCACTCCAACTTTCTCTCATTCCTTCTCTCCTTCCCTCTCTCTTTGGAGGTGAATATGGGTCACAGCGGGCCGTGTAGTGCTACTTTCTCTCTCTCTCTCTCTCTCCAGTCCCTGGGTGTGTATGTATGGTAGGTAACAGAGGAGAGACAGGAGCATGGCAGGCAGAAGCTAGCTCCTTAACACACAGTTCTCTGATGTCCCAGGGGGGCCCAGGAGGAGGGGAAATGGAGCGCACTAAGAAAAGCTAGGATCGGGCTTCAGCTGCTCTGAGTCACACAAGCTGCAGCATCCCAAATGGCACTCTATTCCCTATTTAGTGCACTACTTTTGTAGTGCACTATAATGGGTCCTGGTCAAAACTAGTGCACTATAAAGGGAGAAGGGTGTCATTTAGGATGTGCCACAGTCAGAGACAGGGCTTCTGCTCTGCTCTGTTCTGCAGTTCTGTGGGCACTAGCAGTAGTCATGTAACCAGGCCTGTTTAGTCATGCACTATCATATACTAAAGGCATTTATTACCACCCTACTCTTCCTTTAAAAAATGACAATCTTTAGTCATATCATATCAGATATTATGTCTGTCTGTGTTCGTCAACAGACAGGGGGTGCTCTGCAGTTCTGAGTGTAACAGTCATGAAACAAAGCCTGTTTAGTCACACACACTCATTTATTGCCACCTCTCCTTTAAAACAATACCATCTTTGGTCATATCATGTCTGTCGTTCTGTGTCCAGCATCTCTTGCGTAATCATCACACAGTAGCCTCATTTGCATCAGACAGGACTACGGCTATTTTTAAATCATTAATGAGTCTGTTAGTCATTTATAGTGCTTCGATGTGTCATCCAGCAGCCAACGTCTGGTAGTGGAATGCATTGTCTTTCTACAGTATCTGTCTGCATCGGCTCTTCTCTCAGCTAGCTGTACTGGTGTCGGTTACATTGTGACTGGCTGTGTTGTGGCTCAATAGCCGATGATTCACGAGAATGTTTATAATGTAGGCTAGTTGTTACAGTTGTTACCCGCTTGATTCTTGTGCTGCTGGTCATTACTCATCTGATACTTGCTACCTACATTGTGTGCCTATATATAGCCCTTGGCTTGATTTCACAGAGTGTTCAAGTATGGATAACTGCATAGACTGTGTTCTTAATGCAATGTCTGTTTATAATACCCTTGGCAGAGTCTAGGCCTATATATCTTGATGTGTTAGTGACCTACTATATCTACTGTTTAGCATCGGAGTGATGAACCCTCTTTTGGAACACTGTAACTGAAGATTGTTCCAGAAGTGTATTTGCTGTGATTGTTGAGTGTAGCATAAGGCAATGGACTACAATAGTAAGAATAATGTGTCCTTCGATTGACTTGCTCCACCATTTTAGATGTGCTTGCTTTACTGCAGCATTTCTCAGGCCTGATGAAGCAACAAAATATGGCCCTCATATTTTACTTGCTGAATGGGCTCATCAATGATTAATGCTCCCTAAAGTACTTGAGTCGAGCATTGGGGCTTTGCATTTTTTTTAGTGTGGAGTCAGGTGGTTGAATGTGCTTCTACTTATGGGTTTGTTGCAGGAGAGAATCTAACCCCACCAAGGGAGTGAGAGGAAACTGATGTTCTTGGCTCGGAACCACCACTGTTACTCTGAGAGTTCCTTTGCTTCGACTCAGAATATCTTGTAGATACAGTTCCACTTTTGACCAAGTCTGCGTCCCAAATGGCACCCTATTCCCGAAGTAGTGCATTTATTTTGACCAGGGCCCGTAGCCTCCACTTTCTCTCTTTATCATTGTTAGAGTGGTGTCGTCATTTCCATGTGTTAGGAGGGGAATGTGAACTGTTAAAGCTAATTATGGGGATCACAAGCAAGGTCCTGGTCATAACACACTCCTGTTGTCTCAGTTTGGATGGGGTTAAATTGCAGATGTACTGGTATTGGTTAAAGTAATACCTCACCTCCATATTGTGTGTCCACAGAATAATGCACTGGGCCAGGCGCATCGAGCAGGAGATCGACAGAGTCTTTCAGCACATCAGTGGAGCCCAGCAGCTAAAGGGGGTGAGTGCTTGCCTAACCACTCTTCCCCAGGCTAGAAGCTATCGCATATAATGGTTCAACGGTGAGAGAGACGGCTGGTCAATCTGTGTGTTTGTCCTGCATTTTCTCATTGGATCACATTGTAACCTATATTTTGAACTCATTGCTCCTGATTGTCAAGTCTCAGAATATGTGTGTCTGAGTTGCCCTCTGTGTACTGTAAGATATATATGTGGGTGTGTCTTCTGTACTGAGAGAGTTGTGTGGGTGTGCGCGTGTCTATGTATGTGTGTGTGCCTGTGACCATACTATGACAGGTGACTGAACAATACAACATCCTTTAACATATACTGTACAGTAGCCGAATCGTAAAACTTGAATCAGCTGTAGTGGGCCACTGGGTCCTATACATGGTGAGGGATGCATGTCCTCGATGCTGTGAGTGAGCGATGACTGATGGTCGTGGCTCGTGTCCTCTGTGTTCCTCTGTGTTGGTGTCAGAGAAGAACAGATGGTCTGGCAGCCTGCAGTAAATCCTCGATGGGAGCCATGCACCTTTTCCTCATTCATTTACCCATAATCCTGCCCAGTGTCTGAAACAGCCTGGGAGCGAATGTTCCACAGCCTGGCGCTACACAGTGTAGGCCTCAGGAGAATCCTGTGCTCATTTGAAAAAGGCACATAAATTGAACTGAACCTTTATCTATCTGTGGTTTCTACCCAAACTTGAGTTTCTACTCAACTGCGAGTAGAATGCCGCTGGAGGGAATAGCTGCTGTTTTACAGGCTCCTGACCAATTGTGCTATTTTGTCTGTCTTTTTTGTACAACATGTTTCCGCCATCGTTTCCTATGTCCAAAAAGAGCTTCTGGACATCAGAACAGCAATCACTAACCTCGATTTGGATGAGGATTTCTACTTCAATGAGTTGGCAGCGAAGGACTTACTGCTCATTCCGGACCAGGCCCAAATCCCCGACATACAGAGAAGGAAGAGGCGGCGTTATAGAGGCCGACATGCGGGATATCTGACGAGACTACTTCGGCAAGTGGATAGACCGCCTCTACCCTCTGTTCTATTGGCCAACGTGCAATCACGGGAGAATAAGCTGGATGAGCTCCGTTCAAAACGATCCTATCAACGGGACCTGAAGAACTGTAATATTCTATGCTTCTCGTAGTCATGACTGAACAAGGACATGGATAATATACAGTTAGTTGGGTTTTCTGTGCATCGGCAAGACAGAACATCAGCGTCTGGTAAGCTCAGGGGGGAGGGGTGTGTCTCTTTCTTAACAACACCTGGAAGTCTCTAGGTTCTGCTCGCCTGTGTTAGAATACCTCATGATAAGCTGTAGACCATACTATTTACCAAGAGATTTTTCATCTATATTTTTAGTAGCTGTCTATTTACCACCACAAACCGATGCTGGCACTAAGACCGCACTCAACTAGCTGTATAGGGCCATAAGCAAACAAGAAAATGCTCATCCAGAGGCAGCACTCCTAGTGGCCAGTGATTTTAATGCAGGAAAACTGACCTCATTTCTACCAGCATGTCACCTGTGCAACTAGGGTAAAAACAACTCTGGATCACCTTTACTCCACACACAGAGAATCATACAAAGATGCATACAGTCTGTAATACCTACATGTTTCAAGCAGACCACCATAGTCCCTGTGCCCAAGAAAGCCAAGGTAACCAGCCTAAATGACTACCGCCCCGTAGCACTCACATCTGTAGCCATGAAATGCTTTGAAAGGCTAGTCACAATCTCTATTGCACTCCACACTGCCCTTTCCCACCTGGATAAAAAGAACACCTTCGTGAGAATGCTGTACATTGACAACAGCTCAGTGTTCACCACCATAGTGCCCTCCAAGCTCATCACTAAGCTAAGGACCCTGGGACTGAACACCTCCCTCTGCAACTGGATCCTGGACTTCCTGACGGGCAGCCCGCAGGTGGTGAGGATAGGCAACAACACATCCGCCACGCTCTCCAAACAGGTCAGGGACAAAGTTGTGGAGAAGTACAGATCAGGGTTGGGTTATACAAAAATATCTGAAACTTTGAACATCCCACGGAGCACCATTAAATCCATTATTAAAAAATGGAAAGAATATGGCACCACAACAAACCTGCCAAGAGAGGGCCGCCCACCAAAACTCACGGACCAGGCAAGGAGGGCATTAATCAGAGCGGCAACAAAGAGACCAAAGATAACCCTGAAGGAGCTACAAAGCTCCACAGTGGAGATTGGAGTATCTGTCCATAGGACCACTTTAAAGAAAAAAATAAGCAAACACATTTGGTGTTCGCCAAAAGGCATGTGGGAGACTCCCCAAACATATGGAAGAAGGTACTCTGGTCAGATGAGACTAAAATTGAGCTTTTTGGCCATCAAGGAAAACTCTATGTCTGGCGCAAACCCAACACCTCTCATCACCCCGAGAACACCATCCCTACAGTGAAGCATGGTGGTGGCAGCATCATGCTGTGGGGATGTTTTTCATCGGCAGGGACTGGGAAACTGGTCAGAATTGAAGGAATGATGGATGGTGCTAAATACAGGGAAATTCTTGAGGGAAACCTGTTTCAGTCTTCCAGAGATTTGAGACTGGGACGGAGGTTCACCTTCCAGCAGGACAATGACCCTAAGCATACTGCTAAAGCAACACTCGAGTGGTTTAAGGGGAAACATTTAAATGTCTTGGAATGGCCTAGTCAAAGCCCAGACCTCAATCCAATTGAGAATCTGTGGTATGACTTAAAGATTGCTGTACACCAGTGGAACCGATCCAACTTGAAGGAGCTGGAGCAGTTTTGCCTTGAAGAATGGGCAAAATCCCAGTGGCTAGATGTGCCAAGCTTATAGAGACATACCCCAAGAGACTTGCAGCTGTAATATACAAAGTATTGACTTTGGGGGGGTTGAATAGTAATGCACGCTCAAGTTTTCTGTTTTTCTGTCTTATTTCTTGTTAATATTTTGCATCTTCAAAGTGGTAGGCATGTTGTGTAAATCAAATGATACAAAATCAATTTTAATTCCAGGTTGTAAGGCATCTGTATGCCAGTTAGGCTCTACACCCCTTGTAAATCGGATTAATGTGCTTAATTTTAAGAAGTTATTTGGCCACTTTAGTTGTGATACAAACCTTATTAAAACACATAGGCCTATGGGCTAGGCTACATGAGGTGTGCGACTATGATTAGAAAAAGTCGCAAAAAAAGGCATTGTTTCTTATGCTAGCCATCATTCACAAGTGATAATATATCATTCACAAGTGATAAGCTAATATTGTCACCCATCAGGCTATTCTTGATTTAATCTTGTCTTTACATATAGTAAATAATATATGTGTGAAATTTGTTTTGATTTAGAATGGACCATTATCATGCACCTGTATCGAAACAGGCAGCGGAAAAAAATACATGTCATCTATGCACTTAATTAGAGAATGGAGGACGCATTTCCCGTGGTTTATTTTCATGCCAGCCAGGTAGGCTATACTCCTGTTGTAAATATAAGCAATGTGCTTAATATTAGGAAAGTTGAAAAATAAATATAGTTAGCATAGCCTGTAGAAAGCTGATTCTCCTCTTTTTAGTAGAGGCCATCATCTCGCGCAATTGCATAGCCTATTGAAATGTTGCGCAACATGAGCTCAAGGACTCTCATGAAGTGTTTGATTAGATTTTCGAATACATTTGCATTGATGTCAGAGTGATTAGAGGGACAATAGAGTGCTGAGTACCAGGCGGTTAGCAAGTTTGGTAGGCTACTAATGACCATCAGTAGCATTAGAGCTTGGAGAAGCCTAATTACCGTGACTAAACGGTCACGTGGAATTTGACTGCCTTCATGACTCGTGACCGCTGGTGTGGCGGTAATATGGTCACTGCAACAGCCGTAATCTGTTGCAATCTGAGCTACTAGTCCACGTTTAAGATAGACCATTACAGACCTACTGAATACCTCTCTAGAAAAGGTACACATGCCTTTTTAGCGTACTACCACAGTGACAAAGCCATTTGTTCCTTTTAAGTGGCAAAAATGTACCTCTAAAAAGTTTTTGGAGTGTTGTTTTAACACTGTAGGGTGTATACTCAGTGGTCTGAAACTCCTGGTTTGCATGCCATATCGAGCAAGTCACATGCTGGCTTGGAAAGTGATATGTAATTCCTATTGGAATCCAGCCAGAGTCAGGATATCCAAAAAAGTTGAACTTTTAATCACACGCAACCTGCATTTATTGACTGCCATGGTAGGGAAAATGTATAATTGAGACTACAGATGTCGGATCTTAATTTGGTCACTTTTGTCTCAGAGAATTTTCTTGCTGCATCAGGAAATTCAAATGAGCCTCGTGATTTAGATAAATTCACTGAAAAACAGCAGTTCTCTTTCTTTCCATGCGGGGTGAGTCGAGTCATTCAGATCAGGGCCTGCTACTAATCATCCTCTCTCTCGCTCGCTCAAACGCTAAAGCACCAGACAGAATATTAATACATGTCCTACTGCAGCCATACACATCAACAACTGTTGTTTTATATAGCTTAATAACACAAGATAGATATTGGTCTCCACTAGGACATACAAGTGTCAAGTTTATCCGAAATGCAGACGTAGGCTACACCTTAACTATAGCCTACTGTATGTAGCCTAATAAATTAATTGAACACATAGGCCTATAATATTAGATGTAAAGACAAGATGAAATTGAGAATAGTGATGTACGGAATGGAGCACAATGGAAGAGAGCAACTGATAACACGCAAAAAAACACAGCCCGTGATTTTTTAGATCTAAATACAGTACCAGTCAAAAGTTTGTGAAGACATCAAAACTATGAAATAACACATGTGGAATCATGTTGTAACCAAAAAAGTGTTAAACAAATCAAAATATATTTTATTTTTCAGATTCTTCAAAGTAGCCACCCTTTGCCTTGATGACAGCTTTGCACACTCTTGGCATTCTCTCAACCAGCTCCATGAGGTAGTCACCTGGAATG